GTGAGAGGAGCAGGTGGAGAAGGCCTTCTGCCTCCCCACGCACGACGAGATCCTCAGGATGGCAGCTATGATGTATACATAGGAGGTCAGCGTGAACAGGAACGGGAAGACCAGATCAAGCAAAGAGATTATTAATGTCATTTGTGTGAACATTGTAATGTCAGTGCAGGCAAGCTCCAGCAATGGGGTAAAATCACAGAAGAAGTGGTCGATTGCCTTAGGGCCACAGAATCTCTGGTGAGATATGAAAGTGGTAGGTATTAGAGAAATTAGCAGTCCCCCTAGCCAAGATGCAGCCACTAACTTGAGACAGACCTTCCAGGTCATGAGGCTTGTGTAGAGCAGGGGCTGGCATATGGCCAGGTACCGATCATAGGACATCACGGCCAGCAGGTAACACTCAGTAGTTGCAAAGCAGCCAAAGAAGTAGAACTGAGCCATACAGCTGTGAGCAGAGATGGTCCTGTCCCCATTCGTCAAGCTGGCCAGCAGCCGGGGCAGGATGGTGGAGCTGTAGCAGGTTTCCAAGGAGGACAGATTGCCCAGGAAGAAGTACATGGGGGTGTGCAGGTGCTGGTCTACCACGACCAGCACAAAGATGAGGATATTCCCAACCACAGTCACTGAGTAGATAAGGAGCAGGAGGAAGAAGAGTGGTGTCTGGAGTGAAGCAACATTCCCCATTCCCAGCAGGATGAACTCCACTGGTGATGTCAAATTGTCCCACTCCTCTTTCCCCATGCTGTGCTTTTTGCCCTGTTTTTTTACCCTTTTCAGGAAAGGAGCTCCAAGGAAGAACAGGTGTTGCTTTCCTTATTTTAAAGAAGAAAGGATCATAGACAGAATCAAAGGATAACTCAGGCTGAAAAACACCTCACAGGAGCTGTGAAGGATATTTTTGCCAGAGAGCAGAACTACATCCTGCTGATCTCTTCAAACTCCTTTCACAGCATCCCTGCCTTGTGAAAACACAGAAATAGTTCTTTCCAAATGGCAAACCCCCTCACCTCAGGAGGGGTTCTGACCACAAAGGTGAGCTGTCTCATGGAATTCTCACTCTAGAATCAGTAGAGAAGGTGCATTTGCTCATATTTAGACCTTCTACTTGCTTGTTCCCTGGGGAGATTTTGGTTTGGGTTTTTTGGTTTTTTTTTTTTTTT